ACATCCGACATTTAATGAACAGTTATCGCTGAATTTCGTTTACATTAGACAATGATAACAAGGTGTCTATCAACTTTTACATAGTCGGATGAAGCAATGTTTGAAGAACATTTTCATGAACAAAAATAAGTATTTTTATTTACTTAATAAGAATTACACGTCGCCGTTGAACAGTTTTTTTTTATTTCTATCTTCTAGGCTAAATATTTGTCATATACAATAATATTTGGAATTTGTAACGGTAATCAAAGTTTATAGATTTCTTTAAATAATTTTTGTCGATACGGTATGATAAGCAAATTCGCTCGCTATGATCGACGAATCGATACTATTGAAGGTGTTATTTAAATATGTTTACTTAAAATACAGGTGCTATAAACATAGTATTCACAAATAAATTCTAGAATAGAATCTTCAGATCTTAACTTATCTCAATTATCTCTCAATATTATTGCGGAAATAGTGAACAGTATAGTTATAATTAGCCATAAATAAATGACTTCATAAACATTTCTCTATTAATTAAATGTACTTTGGATCAATGTTAAATACTAAACAGAAATGCTCATGAATTAATCATTATAAATCAGTCGTGCACTTAATATTAATAAAAAACTTATAAATCAATCTTTGATTCGTCAGTCCAACATTGGAAATCAAATAGCGATTATTTTAACCGTAAACTGAATAACAGTCGACGCACAGTATTTTTTTTTCCAACGAATTGAGAATCACGTTACCAATTCTATTTTTAAGTACAAACATATTTTTCTTCCAACTCACTCTTTATAATATGTATATGACGGTTCTGTATAGTTGTAACGTAAATAAGCCAGCTTAACCATAATAACATAACTCCGGTTTAGAGCACAGCTTACAATTCTATCTGTCAAAATCTAATAAATATTTAACAGAGTTCGAATATAAACTGTTTGAAATTGAGCCATAGACTAAATAACTAAACTTTCCTTTGACAACATTCTATGGTCTATGATAGAATAAAATCTCATATATCAAATGCTAACCCATGAACATAAATAGTTTGCCGTTTCCTCAAGGGTAAAGGTCCTATGATACGTGACGAATCAATACAATGCATGATACATAAGTAGGTCAGAACTGCACACAGCTCACCTAAAATCGCAAAATGACCACGCTATCGATCGTGACCATTATGTCTAGGGCAGAGTAAAAAATTTGTAGGTAGACTTCTTGTCTGACTGTCAAATAGATGTAGTAAAATGCCTCGGGGAAAACAGATAATTTTTATCTCGTAATTTGAAATGATTCGGCAAATAAAGCTTTAATCTCCATTATCTTAATTACGAGTGTAGTAATTAAATTACCGAAAAAAACAATGTTTCTATTTGAAATAATATCTTTAAAAATACGGCAATTTCATCTAAATCCAAGTGTAACGCCGTTTATTGACACAAGCGCTCTAAATACAAAACATCAATCGATGAAACGATGTATGATAGGGATAGACATAAAAGAATAGACAAAATAAAGAATACAGCTTTACGGAAAATAAATAAAGTAAAATGGAAATGGGCGGGGCATATAGCAAGAGGAACAGAAAAGTGGAGCAAAACGAAAAAGAGAGCGACAACTTAGAAGGTGAATAGACCAAATTAAAGAAACAGCAGGTGGTACATGACAGAGAATGCAGAGAGGAATGGTGGGATTTAGAGGAGGCCTTTGCCAAAAAAGGGCACACAGATACCTAAAAGAAGATTGAAATAGAAACGTGTTTAAATGTATCTGAATTAAAGGCTATTATTATTATTATAAATAAAAAACAAACGACCTTGTTAACGTAATAAAAGTGATTTTATTGTTAAACATAAAGTAGAAATATTTTATAAGAAACCTTCGTTAAATGCACGACTGTAACCAAACAATAAACTACTATTACAATAGATTAATTCTATAAACGATCGTTCGTTCGTTCAATGAACTATGATCTGTAGTGATATTTTTCAAATGCGTGAAAAGTTTGTTTATAACCGAGAACGCTTTGCATTCTATAAATAGACTGAACTTTCATTCACGGACCTTTGTGTCATTCATCATAGTGGCGACATTATATTTGAATGAAATGCCCATTGACAATTTATACCATTTATTTTATATGTAAATAACTTGGGTTAACAGATTATAGTGGTTACCCGTATCTATTTCTATTTAAAAAAATATTACTCCTCTATTGGCCCACCTTGCATTTTCATTTCTTTTGTCCTACCTAAAATTTATATTAGGTCGAGTAAAAAGTTTTTATGCAGTTTTGAACCTATACTTTTACCATCTTTTTCATCGTATTGTTTTAAATTTTTGAATTTAATACCACCCACTAATACGCCTATGTCGTATGCGCCTTGATGAAGTCATTGATTTTTGAATAAAAAACTTTTTATCAAATAAAGGTTTAATTTAATGACCTTTGCCTCCATGCATCTACGACACTCTCATACATTAGCATAGAGTTTATCAACCGCTCTATGAAATTTTGAGGGATCATCTCCCATTCCTCTTCTATGGCAGTTTTCAATTCCTACATCGTCTGGGCAACTGGCTGACGAGCCCCTAACACGTCTTTTTAGCTCATCCCACATGTCTCAATGGGGTTCATATCTGGGCTTCTGGCTGGCCATGCATAACTGCATGTTCACATCCCAAGATATTCTCTGACGATGCCAGCCGTATGGGCTCTGCATTATCATCTAAAAAGGAAATTTGGGCCCACATAGTCCCTATGCATCACTGAGGTTCTAAGCCCTCAAGAATTACCTTTTAGCATTTAATGTTGGCAGCCGTGGTCCCGTAACAACCTCAAGTTGAGTTTTGCCGCCTCGCGGATATACCGCCCCAGACAGTCCATGAGCCACCGCCATAAGCAACCCTCTCTTCAAAGCAGCATTGTGCAAAACGCTTTCCCTTACGTCGGTAGACCTTCTTCCTTCCATCATTGCCATGTAACGCAATTTTAGACTCATCAGAAAAGAGTACACCGTTCCAATGCTGCTGAGTCCAATGTGAGCGCGCGAAATGAAGGCGCGCTATTCGGTGGGCTCGCGTTAGTTTTTGGGCCATTAGTGGCTTGTGTGGTACCATATCGCGTTCTTTTAATCTTCTCCGAACAGTTCGAGCGTCACATTTACTCCATGGAAGTCGCCAAGTTGGTTTTGTATCTCAATGGAGGTAAGGTGACGATTTCTCAAGCTGGTCGTCACGATGAATCGATCCTGCCTTTCAGTTGTGACCCGAAATCGTGGCCTCCTTGGCGACGAACAAAACCGCCAGTCTCTAGGTATCTCCATAAACGTTTCGGACCGCAGATCGACTTAAATTAAGTTGATCACTCACTTTCTTTGGCTGTGTCCGGCCCGGATAAGTGCCACAGCTTGGGCGGGACACAGGCGAAGTATCCATAGATTATTGATAGAACCTCATCTTAATGTTAAGAATAAGTAATGTTTGTTGCAAAACCAAAGAGAAAATCACACTTTCAAGAATTAAATCCAACTAAACCAATAAAATCAAGTTTTCTTAGTATTCGTTGTTTGATATCATGAGCAGGCCCAATTGTGTTTTGTTTCTTTAAATTTGTGTTCGAAATTTAAAAAAATATTGAATGCAATTATGAATGTACAGGTTCAAAACTGCATAAAAACTTTTTACTCGACCTAATATAAATTTTTCGGTAGGACCATAAGAAACTGAAAATGCAAGGTGGGAATAGATGTGTCCAGAAGTGTATTAGTCTAGCAAGAAGTTTTTGTTTCAGTATAAAATCAATGTCAATAAACAAACGTTAATCAACAAATATCTCTCTGATGACTTTTTTTTTTTTTTTATGTTATGGAACTTATAATATGTTAAAGATTTCTATTTATCAATTCAATTAAAATATATATTTAAATCTATACTAAAATATATGTATATAAAAAGGCTACCTTTTCAATTTCACTTCGACAACATATTTCCGTTTTCACCAACATAATACAACCCTAAATGGTTATTCATGATCTAAGCTATGTTAAACTTATACTACTGTTATGGAAGTCCATCTAAATTCGCGTTTCACAAGTTTCTTATAAGGCGTAGGAGGTTTTTAATTATCTAAAATTGTTGTTTCCTGTTTTGGAGGTGTAATAACATAATATTTTTGCGAGACTGACGTAATACAAAAAACTGCTAATTTGTGATTCTCACTCGAGTATTCGAATTCAAAATTCTTATTAAAATTCGACGCTGTATTTTATTATTGTGAAATTTTGAGCACTGTTGGCCTTGTGAGGTCTCATCCGCCTGAGGTCGTAGGTTCGAACCCCAGATGTGCACTAAATTTACTGTCTATTTGCGCATTAAACACCTCGTAAAAAGTTAACGGCGTTTTTAAGGCACAGCCTAGTGCCTATTAGAAAAAATAAATATCACGTAACAGATACTGAAATCTGAGGCTCTGACCCAAAAGGTTGTACCGGGTTTTTTTTTTTCAAATTAGGTTTTATTTACCGCAAGGACGAAGGAAATCGTCGTATATATTGTTTATGGCTTCGTACCTGCTTTTATTTATTTTACAAAATAATATAATAATTATAATCACAATATGTTACATTAGAAAACCGCTGTGGTTTGTATAAGTGTAACCATAGCAGTCTTAAAGAAAAAAAATTTTTTACCAGATTGATCCCGTATTTTTTTTTTCTTTTTTAGTTAGTTTGTATTTTTAATTTACAATTATTTTACATAATTTTGAATTATTCCGACGTTTCGCGTGTTTTCTTTAAATGTGTAAAAGTTATGTCAATTAAAGACAATACTACATAGCAGTCTTGTAGGAGCGCGACAAAAGCATATAAAAGTAACTTATAGTATCTGTTCAATGTATAAATGAAGGACAATTAAAAAAACATTATTTTTTAAGTTAAGAAAGGCCTTATTCTAAATATGTTTGCAATTGTTTGACGTATAAACAAAAACATTTTCACTTGCAGGTCAGGTACCGCGAGAGAATAACAATCCTTCGTGGCAACCACGAGTCCCGTCAGATTACTCAAGTGTACGGATTCTATGACGAATGCCTTCGCAAATACGGAAATGCGTCCGTTTGGAAACACTTCACCGATTTATTCGATTTTCTGCCACTTACGGCGTTAGTGGACGGACAGATATTCTGTCTTCACGGAGGTCTCAGTCCCTCAATTGATACATTGGATCACATTCGCGCCCTCGATCGCGTACAGGAGGTGCCCCATGAAGGACCCATGTGCGATCTCCTATGGAGTGACCCTGATGATAGGTAAGTCTAAAAATAAAGGCTATTTTTTTAAATATAACAGGCGGAAAACGGGTAGGAGGTTCAACACCGACGCCCTTGGACAATGACATTGTCAGGAGGTTCGCAAGTGCGTTGCCGGCCTTTTATGAAGGTTATTTAGTTAAATGATTATATTGATATATTTTTCTACGGGTGTATATTTTTTATGCGTTTAAAAAATGAATTAAGAAAGAGAAGGTTCCACAAAGTTGACTTATAACATTTTGGAATGTTAAATAACCGCCTCTTTAGCTACGTGGTTTTGCAACTTTAAATAATAGCCCAAAATTTTCTAAAATATATTGTTATGTGATTTAAATTTGTCCTTTTCCTTATCACCTTTCAAAATCATCAAACATTCTTTAACTATTGAAGGCTTATAGTGCATTTATGAATGTTACAGTATAGAAGACTTGAAACAAAACATAATGCATCTGATAATTCAGTTATTATATAGTTGTTAATTGGTTGTGCTAATCGCTGAGTAACAGAAATTTGATTTGGGAACGTCACAACCTTTTAACGTAATAATACATTTTTTACATACAAGGGTAAAAAAGGGTACCATTTTCTTTCGAGAATTTACGACTCGTAGCAATTACGTCTGGTAATGTATATATATAAAAATTCTTAATGTTTTCGTGCACGGAATTATTCAAACAAACCATCAATAAAGCAATAAATCGTTATTTACGAGAATTTAAAGTAATAGTGAAACAATTTTTATATATATATATATATATGTATCTAAATTTCAATTAGTGTTTAGTATTTCATAAGTAATATTAAATAGATTTTGCCAATACGCGTATTACGCATATGTTCTAGGGACGCGTAATTAAATTCACACACAAAGTTCCCCTTTAGCCCTTTTGGCTGACAATTATTAATAGAGTTCTAATCAAGGAATGCTATAATTAATATAGGTCCAGCGTTATCCGTATTATGAGTAGAAGTTACAACTAAAATCGTACTTTCCCAGGTTTTGCACTAATTTATAATTTTACGAGTAATTATTTGCTCATACGGTGAAGGAAAACGAAATACGAACGAACTATCACTCCCGTATGTATAAATCCAGTACGTTTAGGATGAACGGTTTTATTTAGCACTTAGGGTCTGTTTCACAATGTATGGATAAAGTACCAAATAGCTATGCAACACATAAATTATTTGGAAGATCAATTGTGCTATTTGAAATTCATCGGACTCATAACTTATGATGGACTTTATGTGACGAACAGCGCTATCTGAAAGTCGTGAAACGCAACAATAGTGTTTGTCCTACCAATAAGTAAGTAATAAATAGCTTATTTGGAACTTATGTAGAACTTATCCGTACATTGTGAAACAGACCCTTAGTCTCGACGAATCTTACCCACAAAATGCACAAGCACGGAAGGCCGATCACCAACACGCCTATACAATAAACCAATCTATGAAAATGTCTAGAAAGTTGTCTTCCTCGTTAGCTTGATTCTCTCACTAAGCAAAGACACTGCGACTCTATGCGTTTTCTAAAAAGTGTACTATTTGAGTGTTCTGAAGAATTGTTTGGGTTGATCCCTCCTGCCTCGTTTCAACACGAGCAGTATCAATTCAAAATTTCATCAGCATCACTTTTATGGCTGGAAGTCTTCCACGGTCCGCTTCACAAGACACTAGCAAATTGTGGAGTCGACTCCCGTGGGGGACTTTCCTGAAAGACAGAGTGAGAGTGTATTCCTCCCTAAAAGGACGGCAACGCACAGGCAACATGTGTGTCCATGGGCTGCGATGACTGCCCTTTTGGGCGTCCCGTAGCCTAAAAAAAGTGCGTGCGTACAAGGTACACATTTCAGAAGTGAAACTTCTTTGGCAAGCTAATTTTTAAGTCTTGTTCATATTTATACAAATCTAAAACTTTAGATTTCCGAGACTTAGAGGGAGGGAAAAAGGAAGATATGTCAGGAATTAATATGATTGATTAAAACATTAAAAATTAATACAAAAAATAAATTAAATTTTTTAAATTTATTTCTTCGATAATAAAAACACGTGGTGGTGGAATTTTAATTTTAAAAATAGAATTTCTATAAGGTATTATTACTCTCTCAATCGGTCTCAATCGCTCTCTCCCTTTTCTTCGACAAAAACGCTGCACATCTTCGTGACGCTTATATTATTGTTATTGCGTTTCATCCGCAAAAATTTTACCCTCATGCGCCTAAAGAAGTTTCATTTCAAAAACATATCATATAATTCACACAAGAAATACCGACGTTATAAATTTTACTAGGTTTTGATGCTTCGTTGTTTGTATCGAATGTGTAGACTTATCTTGTCCAATCTGTGAATGTTCTACTGAACCAGTTTTGCCGTAATTGACGTGTCGTTTTACGATTATCGTTATTGACTTAGTCTTATATTTGTAATTGTCACGTTTTTATATTTGCAAGTACCACGAGCGTGATATTATCACAAAACATTCTTCTAGTTGAGGATTCTTAGCACAGTTCATAGTGTTATTTGTAGCAGTGTTAATTAGTAGGTTGACTTCTAATTAATTTGCGATATTGGTTAAAATAAGTGTTGTTTGAAGATTTTGCTATTTTAAAAGAGTACCGAGAGTTTTTAACGCCGGCTTTCTCTGTCGGCCTACACCCTCTGTCTTCTTTGCCGATGAGTAGGGATGCCTTAAGTTTCAAATTTAATGACGTGGAATAAGCGATACCTGTATCTTATGTTCCATAATAAACATATTTTATTTTTAATAATGCCTAACATTGAAATTATTAAATTTAATAAATAAATATAGTTAAAAAAACTAAAAAACACGCTTTTAAAGCACATCAAACTAAAAAGTGAAAAATAATTCCTAATTTAGGCTGAAAATGGTAATGAACAAAAAATACTGGTATTATTGTGAAAAAGCGTGGGGCGCTCTGTGCCATATTTTTCGTCTATCGAGCAACCCACGCTTTTTCACAATAATACCAGTATTTTTTGTTAAAAGCGTGTTTTTTCGGTTTTTTAAACTATATTTGTTTATTTTTTAGTTAAATTTTTTTTCGGATTATTGCATTTTCATCGATATTTGACAGGTGCGCAAAGTTTGAATTAAATCTGTCCGTTAAAAGTGGGTCAAAATCGAGTCCGAAGGAGTCGGTTACATACATACATACGTACATACATACATACATACAGGTGAAGCTAATATAAAGCGTGTAAAAAAAAAACTAATTTTATCTAAACATCCTCTTTAACGATGTTACTCATAATCGGACTATAATTTAATATTTTGTTACGGTTCTTTTGCAGTCTCGTGAGAATGATAAGGACAAAACATTTAATAACAATTTCATGATCATTGAAATGTTCTTGATCATTATAAGCGCTTTAAAAATATTTTTTCTTAGCAAAATCGTTTATATTATTAGATAGAAAAAAATAAATAATAATCCTTCTTTAGTACCTGTCTTTTAATACAATTAATGGTGTAAATCTCGCCTAGGCTTCCTGTATTATTAAGTATATTGCGTATGGTGATAACCTAAGATTGTTTGAGTATTGCGTGTCATAAGAAAATGTGAAATAGCATATATTTAACCTTGAAATATTTTGGAAAAAGTATAAAAAACCTTTAAAAGAGAAACTGCTTTAGGTTGCTGTGGTTATAAATTTAGTTGCGTATATAGTGGCGTTGCATTGTTTTGCTAGTTTCTGAATCAGGTAGTAAACTGTGCCATCATCATATTGTGTTACGCCGCGAAGCATTCAGTACTATTCGGTTACGTAAAGTGAGTATGGCAATGGAAACAACTCGAACCAGAATCTTAGATGTTCAGGCAAATAACATGGAGGCTGTGGATTCGATACCTAGTTAGATTTAATTGTTTCGGGTTAGCAAAGGCTACTTTAAAGTCTAAAAATGATAAATGATCAGTATATAGTAGGAGAAAGCATGTATATTCGTGGATGGACAAATGTATGATATGCTAGCGCCAAATAATTTGCTAATCCAAAATTTCTAGATATGTATGTAGATGTTTGAATTGTAACAAACATCTTCTTAAATATCTTTCCACATATTTCAAATTTTTTTACTCACAATTTGCCTGGTCCAAGTCCTAAATGCAGCATGTTGCTAAGAGCAGTGTTGGCCTAATGGGCCTCATCGTAAATTCGAACTTCTGCTGCACCTTTCCCACTACTTTCTATCTAAAAGTCCACAGCGTTTGCGAGGCACAGAAGGCTGATCGCTTATCTGCCTATGAGAAACAAATGACACACATACAGACATCGGAGGGCCAGACCTGACCAAAAAATATTGTAACACCCAGTTTATTTTATTTATATGATGATGTATATTCCAGAGGCGGATGGGGAATATCCCCCCGTGGCGCGGGCTACACGTTCGGTCAAGATATCTCCGAGACGTTCAACCACAGCAATGGGCTGACGCTGGTGTCCCGCGCTCACCAGCTCGTCATGGAGGGATACAATTGGTGCCACGATCGCAATGTTGTCACCATATTCTCGGCGCCGAACTATTGCTACAGGTAAGTTCAAGAATTGTCACGAAGGTACCAAGAGAGTGCTGAAATTGTTTGGGTAACAAAATATTAAACTACAAAAGAACATAGAAGTGCGATGTGTTTATGTGGTCTCACAACATCATGGTGATGATCAGTCTATGTAAATCGAGGACTGATTCAGTAGGACAGTCAAAATCTGTTAATAACGACATCGAAGGGACTACTCACATTTGGTCGTAAAAACCGATAGTCGTAACAGCCGATGACTACTAGTCTAATAGAATTCAGCCGGGATCTTTGATTTTGGTCAATATAACCAATCAATATAATCCATGCATAATCGTCGGTTATGGGATTTTTAAACTTGTCACTTCTCTAGTACGCCCTGGTTTCCGTCCAGCCGTGTACGACATGGCCTATCCAACCAAATCTCACCAGCCGGTTGTCTTGTAAATCCTACTTGTTCAAGCAAACAAAGAAAACAAAAATCATTTATTCATGTAGGTAACAATGTACACTTATGGACGTCAAAAACGAAATATACATTAAATGATTCTAATTTTACATTTACTGCCAGTTCTCAAATCAAGGGCGTAGAACGGAAGAAAATAACTGGCAATAAACTCTCCGCCACCCTTTTTAATCGCCAAGGTTTTTTTTACACAACGTTTGTAAGTCACTTACATTTTCGTCGGAACAACACGCAAATACATAGTCGAAACAACTAACATCACCTCATACACTAATTCAAGTACGACCAGTCACCACAAGTAGCACCCGTTCACGAGTATGACGCATGGCCAGCCATCGGCCCCCTCGTCAGATTTTAGGGAGAGAGACAACCCGACGCATGTTAACTGCTTCTTATTCATCCGTTCTACATGTCCAAACCATTTAGGCACTCCCTTTCAAATCCTTGTCATTAACGAGGATTTTAAATATCCCACACTGGTCACTTATATCACTATTGCGTATCCTATCACACAATTTAACCACACCTATATCTTAACACTCTTATTATTTAGAGGGTAGAAACGAAATTTGAAAGTTGAGTTTTCAACATTATATTACCATTTTTATACAAGTTCTTACATTTATAAAATTGTATTACAGGTGCGGGAACCAAGCCGCCATAATGGAATTGGATGATGCGCTTAAGTACTCGTTGTAAGTATTCTAATCTTGTAATTACTGGATTACAATTGCGTAATTATTTAAATTATTACTATTACACGTGCCTCACGAGAATGTTAAAATAGAAATGGTTATGTAACTTAGGAATTAACTGCAGTTTTATTATCATATTGTTACGGTAAATTTTTGATATTTCAGTTTGCTCTTTTATTCTGATTGCACTTAAACAAGTGAGAGCTTCTGGTATGGATATTTATATTTAAAAAAACATAGTGAACAGGGCAGAATTTTGACTTTAAAATATGTAGTTATGATAAGCCAGAAATGTTGCTTTCTTATAGTAGAAATGTTTTTATTTCGTTTATGATTATTAAGGAAAAGTCTGTTAGTTGGTTTGAAGTGAGTCATAGTGTTATCAATGTTCCTTATCCTGCCAATCACCCACGACAATGTCTCACAAAAAATCTTATAATGAAAGGTAAAATATATATAAGAGGTAGAATTTAAAACTAATCTACGGTGTTTACGACATCGTGTCTCGCATATAAAATTAAAACTGCAGCGTATTTAATCACAATTTATACTAATAAAAAGGATTATTTTAAAACGACAGCTATTATTATTATGAATAAAAAAATATAGAAACCTTTGTCGAATTAAATAAAAGGGGTACTAAAAACTATAACTCATATACAGTAATCCCTATAACACGATTTCGTCCCCCATATAACGCGGTATTTTCCCCCTATAACGCGGAGATTTCTCGAGCTATATTTCTGTAGTGTGAAATTGATAAAGATATGTCAAGTTCATTATTAGTTTTCCGTACCTTTGCACCTGTTTTTACCACCAAAATTTAACTAAATAACTATTAAATTCGTGTTCCTATGTATTGTTTAAAAAAAAAACGGTTTTACGAGAATACTCCTACAACGCGGTTTCTTATAACGCGGCCCGGGTCTACCGCGTTGTAGGCGGGATTACTGTATACGTTTTAAACTTAGCTCAAAATCTCAACTCTGAATCTTATCCAAGACCTAGTTTTGTCACAAAAATTACAGAGGTCATTAGGTTTCTAAAAGCGGAATGATTAGAAGCGCAAAGTGATGACGTTTTGATAAGTATCGAACGATACAAATCAAGCACGGTTCAAACCGTTAATTGTGGATACTTAAAGTTTATGACCGCTTATTATAAGTAAGATAAGTAATTGTTAGGTGAGTATGGATTATTATAAGATTACTTGTTTTCAGCCTGCAATTCGATCCGGCCCCGAGACGCGGCGAGCCTCATGTCACGAGGCGGACGCCTGATTATTTTATGTAGGCTGTCTGTGAGTATTTTTTTTTTATTAGAAAATCTTATCCTCTAAATTACTGTAAAACCAATCAATACATTTAAAAAAAATTGTATTTATGACTCCCCTAATAATTTACTTTTTAAGTTTTATGAATGCATTTTTTAAGTACAAAAATGTTTCATAATATTAATTATATAATAGCATCTCATGTCATTGATAATTTTTAAAGGAAATTTGTTTTGATCGAATTCGAACCTTATGCAACGTAATGTAGGCGATCAAAATTGGTGTTTTAATTATTATTGAAATAAATGGACAAAATATATGAAACCAGTACTGTATGAATAATGGGTGCAGTTAACCCCGTTAAGATAATTTCGTCATAGTCGTAGAATAGTGACGGATCTGACATATAGTAAACTTTACAGGGCAGCCATTTCAAAATAGTTTTTTTATCATAACTTTTTTAATTCATATTATAAGGATTTGTTTTGTTCAACAAAATAAAAAAAATAACATTAAATTACACAGTTTTCTAGAAAAATCACATGCTTCTATCAAATCCGTCACCTTACCGACTGATTAATTTGAAATTTAAAAGACATGGATTTTTTTGATTGTAGCCGTAATATTTAGTCAATGTAGTAGCCAGTAAATATGATAAAAAGTGTATTTTGTTTTTTTTTCAAATCCGACATTGTTCTACGATCACGACGATTTTTTTCTATTGGAGAACTGACATAATACGTAAGCGGCTTTCTTGAATAAAATACATAAAAATGTGAACCTACCTCGAGTTTCACCAATCATTTTTCTCACCAGGCATCAAATATGTCTTCCAAACGTAAATTCATTAATAAATAAACCCAATTTTTTTAATTAATATATAAGGTCTTAAAAATAATTAATTTTTCAGTGAAGCCGTATTCCCAGCAGAAGTGGTACAAGATCGCAGCCACATTGTCGTCCGAACGCCCCCGCAAACGATTTATTTACCCCATACCCCAAAATACCTCAACCGGGTCCCTTGCCCCGAGCTCGGCCATTTATGGGTTCAAAACACCTTCAATCTCATTTTTTTTACTATTTTACCAAAATATGTATGTAAATTTTTTATCCTCAGAAAAACTTTATTTACCTTCAAAATTTTGTTTTCAGGAATTTTTATACTTATTATCTTGTTTTCTAAAAATTGTTTAAACCAATTAAAAATACAAAAATTATTATAACATGCTCCGTTTCATTTAATGAGATACTTTCAGAATTGTCTGCTAAAAGGTCACGTGTTTTCTTTATGCATTTTCAATACCAAAGACTTGTGCCGTTATTTCTCAAATATTTGTAATAGGGCCAAAGAAAAATGTGGTTTAAATTTGCTCTTTACCATAATGAAGCTTTATAATTATCATTTTCGGACAAATATACTCGAAAAGGATCTCTGTAAAATTTCTGTATTTTCTTTGTCTTTATTTCTTTCGAACGGTATTGTGTTAAAATGATGAAGAACACACATAATCTTTTGTCTTTGAAATGTCATAGACCATTGAAATTGTAAATTACTAATAAATACGCGTTATACACTAAACGCGTGCAGTAGTTGTAACAAAATGGCGGGGGCGATATTTTAATTTACCAGTGCGTAGCTTAGACTTGCCTTGCGTTATGCTGGTATGTTCATTGAATTTTATACACGGACGGACAACGCGACACAATTGTATGTATTATTTATGTATCAAATACAAGTTAGAACTCATTAAAAACATTTTATAAAACTGAGTTTCATTTCTATCTATGGACATACCACCATATAGAGGGTGGCTCTAAGATGTACTAGTGTGGAATTATGTATTTTAAATTAATGTATCGGTCGTACGCTTCGCTCGAGCACAATAATAACGTACGTACGTTATTAATAAGCATTTAATTTTTTGACGCAAACGCTGATTGCGATGTTAATAATCAAATTTGCAAACGCTGTCCCCCGAAATATGCATTTTATCTTTCCTCTTTTGGTACCTGTTTAGAAGCGTGAAGCTTTTCAGTTTCGTATTTGTACATACCTAAAGATCAAGTAGTAGGTTGTTATAGTGTAAGCTCGGTATTCAATGTATCAAATGCGGAGAACATAGAATTTTATATGAATAGGTCGTAATGGGCGAGAACGAAACTTCTGGCAGATGCGACGCTCGACGAAGTTCTGTCAGTGCCATTATATGAATAAGCGATCTTTTTCAAATCTGCACTGAGAGCGTGTGTATACAAAGATTTTCCCACCAATCGGACGCCACACGTTTCTTTGATAAGTATTAAGTTATGTAAGTTAGGTAAATAAATAAAAAAGAACAAAAAAAACTTCGAGCTCCATTTGTGAGTCGCAATCGTAGCTCGGTTCGTATAAGGCTTTCCTGGCAAACGCTGAGAATATGTATAGAGCGAATACGTGCAATGTTGCAAATTGATACATTTACTAAAATTATACAGTGTTGGCAATAATGTCGGATTAAAACAGTTTATTCTTACAACTCTGTACTATGACCGTAAATAGGCATTAGTTAATAAATAAAATTAATTATACACAAATCTTTCATTGATGTTCCCTTGTTCACGGACTAATAAAACAAAAAATATTAAATATGATCTATATTCAATTTCGTTACATACTATAAATATACATTGTCATTTATTTTGTTCTTATTTGAATAAATTTGGTTTAAAGCACATTAATACAAATAATCGGATTAGAACGAGTTCACAAATAAACCAAATTAATGCCAATGTGGTAAGTATTGAGCTAAAGCTAACACATAACGAAAATTATTATTATTGTCAGTTGAAACCAATTCAAATTAATTTTAAACAGCAATACAAATACTGATTCACTTAAACTAATTATTTCTACCCTATCCCATACAATTTATACCAATAATACCTGTTAAATTACTAATTAATATATGTCAAATTATAATTTTTAAATAAAGATAAATATGACGCCCAGGAAACAAATGTGAATAGAGCCTGGCGTCGTTCGAGATTTGTTTGAATCACATTAAACTATTTTTATTTTCTATCGTGAATTTAATTCACTCCAAAACTTATCGCCCTGGTGCCTAATACAAATGGAAATTCTAAGTTCGTATTGCGGTTTTTAACCGCCTAATAATTTACGGAATAATTGTATATTAAACTTGGAATACAAGTCGAAGTATCCACAATGCTTCATACAAACATCTTTATTAATATTAACTTATATTTGCGACGTAATAAGACAAAATATACATATATTTAATGTCACATTAGAAGTCTTATAGAATAATCCTTATGATACCTTCATGCCAGTATCCAGGTTGAGGAGCTGCTTCATCAGCTCGTACGTGGAGAAGGAGGTAGCTACCATCGGAATAGCCCTGATGTAATTCACACTCATACCACGATATAATCCTTTTATCACGCCGTTTTCGCGGTAAATATGCGCGAGTGTTGAAAACATACCAATGCTGTAAAATATTTGTTTATTAGTTTATCTCCAAAATTGACGTATTGTATTTAAAATGCAAATGGTCTTCTGCAAAAAGTGTATGCCGACCCTCACGCAAAACACATTACGTTACGTTGCCGATACAAAATTGATAAATTAGTAATAAGCTCTGAAAGATAATTAGTATTTTATATTCATTTATTGCATATATAAAAGTGAGTAAGTTTATCCCAATGGAGCACAGCTTAAAATTAGATTTTTGATTATGCTTTCTATAATAGCAAGTAGATATTTAAGCCTTCAGCGCCTTAACCAATTATATATTTTGAAACCTGTAACCTCCAGAGTTATAATGCTAGCTATGTGCGTTAATAGGCCACGGTTAAACAAACCATAAAAAAAATTACATAGACATAGATAGCTTAAGAATAATAATAGTAAATATAATAGTAATTGTTTTGTAGATATAATTTTAAAAACATAAGTTAAGATACTCTAAAAATAATACAAACACATTAAAACAAAATTATATACAAAAAGTACAAACCTTCTGTTATTGTTGCCAACCCCAGTGCAAGAAATATGCAATAGAAATGGTGGTGTTAGAAAAAAATATATAAGAAATAAAAATATAAACCGTTAATATGACAACAATATGTGATACACTTTGAACCTCGGTACCAATTTTAGTCAATTGAAAACTCGTCTCGAATCTAAATAGGCTACGTAAAATTTTGCCCGCTTCATTTGTGATTTAAGCGAGCGTAGCGAAAATGCTTTTCTATGACCATATTTAATTTATACTTTATTAACTTATCGACTTTGAATACATACATTTGTCTTGAAATTAAAATTAATATACACTCAAAAGACCAGAAGAACTACCATAAGTCGTATTATGAGTTGTATTGAGACTAAAACCGTCAAATCCTAACGAAACGCATCATTATATTGTTTTTCGTTTTACATATCTAAATTATTTATATAAAAATATATATATATATACTCAAAAGCTATAACATAAACTATGTATAAAACTAGCTGAACAGTTTTATGATTTAATTCAAAACAATAAACGCGTGTTAAATGTATTTTTAATGGTGTTATACTCATGTGAATATATCACATATCACACTATTTAACTATAAAAGTATTTAATCAGATGTAAATTTTGTTACTATTTTAAATTGATTGATTCACCAGGCCATCAAATGACTATAATTGTGTGACAGAAAAATATTATTTAAAGTTTTATTTACGTCGAGCTAAGCTATTTTTTGTAAAAACTGGTGAACATTCAGTAACAGTAGAGATATTTTTTAGGTGTTCTGAAAATCTTTCGCTAATTTAAAATTATTATGACACAGTTATTTCTAATTATATAGACTATATTTGCTTAATTATAGATTCAGAAGTATAGTGTTTCTTAAACTCGCAAGTAATATATAGCATTTAAATTGCTATCATCAACGAACACTTCAATAAAATTTTAATGTACATACGTTATTCATAAAAATGGTCTACATGCGTGAAGCACGTGTATTGATAACTATTTTCGGTGAACTTTGGAAGTTTGACGGTAAAGATAAAGTGAAGATACATTTTTTAATAAATATTATAATAAAATATCAACAAAGATATACATATATGAAAACATAGTGGCGCTACAAGCCTTTGCTCACAATTTCCTGTACTTTTTCGTAATCACTTTTTCACAGGAAATCAGCTTTCTGTGCCTGACACGTGCCGATTTCCTCACGATGCTTTCCTTAATTGCACGAGCGAGTATTTAATCCGTACTTAAGTACCGTGGTTCTGATAATTATATTGTTAAAAATCTTGTAAAAAATGTTTATTTTATACCATATAGAAACTAAATAGAACCCTTTAAAGTCAATGCCAAAGAAGGTAAAAAGCACGGAAGATTTCAAAAGTTATCACTATTACTATTAGAATTCCACCTGAGTGACAAGGATATTTTTGACGTGACAACGTCTTATAATTCGATGGAGCCGGCTGCACGCACGAAAAAACATGACACATGCGGCGTTACCTCGCTCTGAGGCGTTCCATTAAGGCTTGAAGTGCAAGCGAGAGCACTCGTTCCGCGCTCTCGCTTGCACAAAAAAATTGACATAATTGTATTTATGCGTACAAATAAATGTAACTTGATCAATTGAATTGTGATTTCCATTTACTTCCTTCTCTATATCCATACAAAATATCTATCTAACAAATAAAATTAAAATTTTCTTTTGAAGAATGCAACCATTCCATCAGTATTTTCTTATGACGTTGTCACGTTCAACTATCGTCAGTAAACCAACTTTACAGACAACCGATATTTTTTGTGCATATTATATATATAGACATATATCCTTTTGTAAAAAAATCGGTACTAATGGAATAGTTGCATTTATCAAAAGAAAATTTAAATTTAATTTGTTTGACAGATATATTGTAGGGATAAAGAGAAGGAGGTAAATGAAAATCACAATTGAATTGATCGATTACAATATAATCGATATAATACGATATTATATACTTTAAATACAATAAAGATGTCGAACGCTGCCGAACGTGGAGGCCGATTGTGCTTCTTTGTCGCTCGTTCCGCTCTCGCTTGCACTTCAAGCCTCACATGGAACGCCTCAGAGCGAGGTAACGCCGCATGCGTCACGTTTTTTCGTGCGTGCAGCCGGCTCCATCGAATTATAATACGTTGTCACGTCAAAAAATAAAACCAATATATATGTTATTAATCTCACCCGAAATGTTTCGTAGCTGGGTCCATAGCCGCCAATTGCATCCGCCGTCTGGTGACGTCTAGTGGATAGGACACAGATTGTGCAACTGCCCCTGCTAGTCCACCGCACACTAATTTTCCTGGTACCGACAGGACTAGGCCGCCTAAAATAACAAAAAAAGGTTTACTTTTTTTTTTCTCTTTATGGCTCTGGCACGGTTTGTGCATTATCCAGTGTCAAGTATAAGATTTTTATAATTCGCTGTTTTAATTAATTACAGTTTATGAATAATAAAAAACGAAGGAAACTAATCGCGACATAACATCAATGATTGAAAACGCATTAAATTTACAAAAAATCAGAATAGTTACATAAGGGCAAAAACAAATCAAAATTATAGTTTAATGTTATTATTTACAATAAACATACTTATAATACAATATACAAGGGGATTTAAATCTCGAAGAAGTAAAGAAATATTGGTAGGAAGGGGAAAAGGTTTACTTAAAATGTTTTTTAATGTATCAAAGACAATATTATGTTACAGTCTATGCAATTGCCACAGAACCTAGTTAGTAAGATAAACGATGTATAGAATATTAAAAGTAACTCTTTTATCTATTCTTGGTTTTTAAGGTTAACATATTTTTCCCTTAAAACAAACTCGAGCTAATCCTTTGAATTTATTTTACACTTAATATTATGTTTTTGGACATAATAAACATTTTATCGGCCTATGTTTAAAGCACCATCCATCAGATTGGTGTTCCACGGGCTCATATTGCAAAACAAATCTACATTTAAGAGGTAAACCGTATCTGTGGATATTATTGATTGACAATACTCATAATAAGACTCTCACTTATGAAATAAAATATATAGACCGCGACTGTAAAAATTACGTATACCTTTGTTTATATCAAAAAGTCATATACATACCAGTATTCCTATCGCATTTTCTACACAAGGATGTCGGGAAATACTTCATACATAGATATTTCAGAGACTCGAAGCAATAAAAACTGAAACCTGCGTACGGCACCATTCCTACCATTGTTGGAACGAAACCACGGTACAATGCACGTATACCGCCCTCCTGTAAACGTACATATGTTAAAGAAATCGTAAAATTGTTAAGAGACTAACTTAAAAGTTATAGGATTAGATAATATATCGTCACAGTCATTGATATACAAAAAACCCAAGATGCACAGTCTCGAATAAAAGTAACGCTCGAAAGTGTCCCGAAACACTATTTCTGTCTCTTTCTATAAGTTACAAGCATATATTATTGCAAAATCAACCTTACGCGAATTGTTTAAAGTTGTTATTACAACGCAGTGTACTTAAAGCAATAAAATTTTACGACCGACCGTGGTCGGTAGGACAAGGTATTGAGTGGAGTCGAACTTGACTTTTTTATTTACAACTATTTCACATAATTTTAAATTTATCCGACGTTTCGCGTGCTTTACAGCGTGCGTGGTCACGGTGACTGAAGACAAAAGGTGTTGGATGTTAAATAGTTGTAAATTTATAATAAAACATAACTTTAATCATTGCCTTTAGCCATTGAAGTTGGCCGTATAGAAGTTTGTGCGTTGAATGAAGTTTTTAGAAAAAATAAATAAAAATCACACATTGCTTGTTATAATCAGTCATAAAAACAACAAAAACTAATCAATAAAGTTTTTTAATTACCGAAAATACGATATCCCATCCTTTTTTAGCCTTCTTGACGTTATATTTTTACAATTTCTCACAGAACACTTTGGCATTTTTAACAACTGCTCCCAGACGCGAGCGACGCAAGACTATTTGAAATGAGCGCACAATTTAGAATGTTGCGCTCATTTTTTGAGGACGTTTTTCAGACGTTGAGTGTGCAACTTGGGTTTTTTGTATATCAATGGTCACAGTAGAATGATAACCTCGTATGTCAAAAAGCTATTTATTTTTTATTCTGAGACTTATGTCATTTAACTGATCACCATGAAGTAAAGACTTATTTATGTTATTAATAATAATAATATCCTTTTTATCTTAAACTATGGACAGAAGCACATTATAATACTTTAACAAACATTGACACACAATGAATTTTTTTTTTTCGTTTGCAATGTTTGGTACTCTGGACATACGAGGTTATCATTCTACAGCGACGATATAAGATAAATCGCATGCAGGGCGACTCTTCGCGAGTCACACGGTGAAGCTAGGCGTTAGCCTTAGAACCATCACGACATCGTGTGTACAGAAAGCTGAACTACTTGCCTATTGGAAGAAACCAATGAAATACATAAATCTGACGTTTGACATAAGGAATTCATACTGATGACTTAACCCATTTTTTAAAAATGTTTCTTTGACTAATCCCTCGACTAGTGTTGTCGGAGGTATTAAGTAACGTCAAATTCTGTTATAACGACATCGAAGGGTCTACTCATATTTGGTCGTAAAAACCGAGTCGAACAGCCGATGACGTTGTTATTAAGTACCTAATACAATAAAACGTATGTAACGATGTCGTCGTAAACGGTTTTAACTGTATTATCATTAACAAAATAGCATTTGTAACTAGTATGATTAAGTACTACTTATCAGAAACAACTTGACTTACTTTACAGCAAATTTTAGTAAGGTTTATTTCCTTATAAATACAACATCTACTATTTTCTCACTCGTTTATTATCACTATGCTTGCTGTATTAATTCTAAGTTAAAGAAATAATAATAATGTCTATGATAAATCTTCTTCGTGTTACTTTGAACACAAATTAATATGACAAATATACTTTATTTTTTACGTAATATTACACTCACATAAAAAAGGAATTAAGTATTTAATTTCTCATCCAGACAATGTTAATATGTCACCCTAATAACCTCTAATTATTGTAAAATAAAAATACTTTAAAATAAGAATAAGTGCAATAATAAAATTTTTGTATCATCATTTGTAAGTAATGGATGTTACGTCTTATTATAATCTTGAAAGTTGCCGAGTTAATATATTAGACAACTGAGGTCAGACAATGGGCTACTTGACAAGTTTTTAAAAACTATTTCAGATTATTTATTAGTGAGACCTATAGAACTTCTTATTTTTAATTCTGTTAAAAATTGGGATTAAATATTCATAATTGTAAGAATTCGTCAAAATGCTTCTCTAGGCAAGTGACGTCGCACAAAAACAGCTTTTTACGTGTTAAATCTATATATATAAAAGAAAAATGGTCTTCGTTTGAGGCTCCTTCACGCCTAAACCACTGATCGTATCGACATGAAACTACCAACGTTCCTTCATTTTTTTATTGCTGTTTTACTTTTATGAAAATTTATCCATACGGACTTCACCGCGGAAACATTCGGGGAGGCTTCCTAGAACCTCTAAACGTCAACATCTGTTAAAAACTCGATTTTCGAAATATTTCAATTTTCTTAGCGGGAAGTTAAAAAGAAGAATAATATAAATATGAAAAAAAATAAAATAATGAAACATAAAATTTATTTTAATTCGTCCAGCAAAGCGGGCGCGAAACGGCTAGTATCACATATATATATTCACATATCACATATATATCTTAAAATTCACATATATATATTATATTTCAATTTCCAAGGCATAATCGGGATTAGACAGACGAAAACATTATTTACAGGTAGGTATGATACGTCATTCGACTAATCTGTGAACGTTTTGTGACAGAGTACCTAAAAATATCGATAATCAATATTTTCAATTATTGATTTTTTAATATACTAGAAGTAATTTTACTCTATAACGCATTGTCTCTGAAATAGCACATTAACTGGCAACCTTATAAATATTCTTACCGATTTAAACATAGAAGATGCAGCATGAGCAATTCCTGTATATCTGTGTTCGCCTGTGATTTGGAAGGCCAGCCGAGCTCGGATAGTATCAAGAGGATATGTGAGCGTCACTGAAGTGAGACCTGCTCCAGCTCCCGCAATAAATTTGTCCCCATGTTGAATCATGGGTATGCTTAGACCGCTTAAATACTGTAAAGAAATAGGCCAAAATAAATGATAAAATGGCTTTTATTTCATGCATTTTGTACATTACATGCGAAATATTATTTAAGCTTAATATTATGTCATTATAAAAATTTCTATATATTAAATGTAAATAAATTACAATTCAAAAATTTCTTACGCAACTACGTATATCATAACTATGTAATAAAAAAAATTGTTCGCTGATTTTTTTATTATATAAAGATTATCAGCGAGTTACGGTCGCTTTACATCAAATAGCTATGATTGATAGTTCTCGGGAACTAAGGGCTCGAATCGAAACTCTTTGTGCTGGATAGCATATTAACTAGCTATAGTAAACACAATAGTACATATTTTTAAAAGACACATATTTAAAAAAAAATCAGTGGCGCTACAACCTCTTTTAGATCTGGGCCTTAGATTTATTTATCTGTCTGTTAGATGATCAGCCTCCTGTGTCTAACACACACCGTCGACTTTTTGGGTCTAAAACATGTCGGTTTCCTCGCGATGTTATTTTAGTTACTTGACCGTTCGAGTGAATGTTAAATGCGCACATAGAAAGAAGTCCATTGGTGGACAGCCGGTCATCAAACCTACGACCTCAGGGATGAGAGTCGCACGCTGAAGCCACTAGGCCAACACTGCTCCATATTTTTATAAGAAACATATTTTTTGAGAAGCTCAGTCAGACCTCTATAAAACAACAATTCAAAGAGATATATAGTGCTAAAATCTGTATTGTCTGCATACAGTATTAGTATGTTGGACAAATACATTACAAGTGTTCTATTATTTACTATTCAAAATTATTTCGCAGACCTTAATTATGTACAGAGCATAGTACAAGGTTTATGTATATGTTAAACTAACACGGCAAGTTAATCAAGTATGTAAGGAGTGTGCTATCCGCGTGCCAAATACGAGCATCTCAGCCGGTTCTTATCAAATATTTGAAGTTTCACCTTCATTATAACGGACACGAAGATTGACTTCAATTTTACGTTCTAGTGACCCGAACGCTGTCTGTACTTTATTGGCAATAACAATTCATTTAAAATTCCCCTATTGCGAGTTAGGGTGATATTCAGGAACGAGAATTCGACTCTCGTATGTCAACATATTAGATTTTGACTTACAAGTCATAGTTCGAGCTAACTCTCGTATCTGTCTTACCCTTAATATAAACCGTATACGTTGAATTCAACGTATACATTTTCTTTTTTATTTCCGTGGAAAACTCGGTCAACTCGCTAACATTATATGTGACTCGCTCGTCTCCGCTTTGGTGGAAGCACATGTATGAAAATCATCGTTACGAGTATAGCGGAGTCCGTAATGGGTCCGTTCCGCTCGCAGTGGAAGGCGGGCATAAGGGCCTTTACAGCTCAGCTCAGGCCGTTTTGGAGTGAGCGAAGTACGAAGTCCACGCCTTCCCCGGTGAAGGCGGTTTTTTACTCTAATCGGTTTTTGACTTTTCTTTGCCGTGCTTTTAATTTGTCATTAGATATCGTGATTGGATCCGGATCCGTTAGGACATGTCGGGGAATCCTACGGGTCTTTTTGTCGGGAAGGGGTAGTACTCTCTCTTTCAACTATACAATTATACATCCTTTTTAATAATGTGTAATTAAGTTTTTTTTCTCTCCTTTTTGTTTTCATAGTTTAAAAATTACTCGCGTCTGTATCTATGCTACATCTACCTGCTGCTGGATTTTAAAAAGCATTGAAAAGGCTAATATAGCAATAAAAATTGGAGAGAATTAAATATAGTTTAGACATCGATTTTAATAACGAGATTAATTGATCCGTCTAGTGGATAAAAGTATGAAACAGAAGTAACGCAACTGACGCAGAGTACCTACTAAATAAGCGACAAACGCGATTGTCATTTATTTACCTATTTAATTATAGTTTAGACTTTAGAGGATAGTTACGACAGAGCTACAAGAGATGACGAAGGAGGTAAACACCCTAAGTAAACTTGGTTCTATGCGAGTTAATTTTGTAACTTCATGTTTATAAACTTATTTGCCGACAATATATATATATATATATATATATATATATATATATATAGGTATATAGATATTTTCTTGCCTTTTATTTACATTATAGAACATAAGTCAATAACTTTTATCTAAAATATTCTGCTTTTATTATTTTTCGAGTTCTAGAAAGAGATTGAAAATAATTTCTAAGGCCAATGTGATATAAAACAAATCAGTCAGCTTGAGTATTACCATAATATCCTTGAAGGAAACTAATATAAAATAATAATTGTACATTAACAATCTCATGATTATGAAATTAAAATCTATTGTAAGAAAAATTATATTCATAAAAATATAAAAACAATAAGAATAAAATATTAACTGTATTTTGCAGTAACAACAACTATTATTAAAAGTAATTAGAGGGATAATTTATGTTTTTAGTAAAATCCATCATAAAAATAATAATTACCTTAGTGAGCTTTTAATGGTATACTAATTATTGCAAACTTAAACATTTGCTAGAACTATTCTCACATTTTTACCTTTATTTAACCATTTTAAATTTTGTAGGTTTAGAATTTATATCTTTTAATTATAATAATTGTTTTATAAAATAAAACATATATTAGGAAATTAAGAATGAGTCATAAATCATAATCCAACTACTAAGTTGATGTAATTTTCTACAAATAATAATATTCACCTTGAGGATAATTCAATAATAAATTATGGGACACTGACACAGAAATAAACATCTTTAATGAAAAAGACAATAAAATAAATTTTATCAACTGTTTCAGGTATTAAAGATAACATGGACATTATGTTGGATTAGCCTTTTTGACAGTAATTAACTAATTTTAATCTTATTTTTAAGTTAGTAAATTATTTCTAACATGAACCAAATGGAATTCTTACCTTTTTATAAATCTCAAAACTCGTAAACTGTGATGCTGCATATGGGAATATCCTGACCATTTGAGCTCCATTTCCCTTATAAAGAGCGATAAAGGATTCGTGTTTCACTATTGCCATAAGACCTCCAAATACACCATGATGTTTGTATTGTAACGACTGGGCTTGTAATAGGATTTTTATTCTGTCTAATGGGGCCACAGTGGTCTTGGCACACATACCAGCCACACCTAAAAAAATTGGTTTGTTTTTTAATAGTGAGGACAAATATTTATGAATGTATACATCTGCAATGTAGATATATGAATCTACATGAACAAATAAGATATGTCCTACAAATATCAAAAAAAATTTAAAGCTTAAGTTCCAATAATATTTTTTTGTGATTCAGTTTTTAATCACAAAAAATATTATTCCAAGCAGAAGATATAAGTATGAATGTAAAATCGCACACCATAACATAAAGAAAAAATTACAGCACATACCTCCAGCCAGTAAATTTCTTAGGATAAAATCCAGGTTACTCTTTGGTTCAACTTTTAGTGCCATCTTGTTTATTATTGTTTGACTTGACCAAAATAAGAGAAATCGTCACAACTGATTTGCATGTGAAGTCGATAAAACAATTCACATTAATTACAAACCAAATATTTCTTTACGATTTGGCACGCAACATTTTAGAATAAACTTTCTCCAACGTAAACCATTTTCTATGGTGTTTGAAAGTTCACCGTATTTTTAAATGAATGTGATTATTTAAGCCACCGGACTTATTTTATTAAAGCATTGTTACATTATGTTCTTAAGAAACACTTTTTTAGCAAAATAATAAGTTAGAATATATGCGGAAAAATAAATCTTTACTTCAAGACTACCACTCCACTTCGAAACTAGCGAATTGACAAATGAAAATATTTGTCGGTTTGTAATTTGTATGGGGCATTCGTAAGCCGCTGACAGATATGTCATTAATGATAGATGACATTTTTTTTTTTTTTTTTTTTTATTAGCCGGATACAAAGTCCATTGGCACTTTAAAAAAAAGTATAACAAAATATCTTTCACAAATAACTATTTACTATACTAACTTAACATAAAATACAATTAATATAAAACAATGGTGAGTTTGAAATTTTCTCAACCGTGTTTTTTATATAATAGTGAATAGCTTTGAATAGAACTGGACATTTCAGTAAATCTTGGACACGGCGGGGAATTTCTATTTGTGATGGTTGACATTGATGACTACCATTTGCAGTGACTGCTGATGAGTCTAAAGCTGATCTTGTCGGGTTATTTGCTAAAGAATTTCCAAGTTTAGTCCGATTATTCTCATCAAAATCCATCAACTTCATAATATCCGTTACTAGTATTAATCGTTGAAATTTAAAGGTCGGGCAACTTAAGATGAGGTGGGATAAGTCGGCCTCCTTTCCTCCACAGTATGTACATCTGTTATTATTTATAATTTTAAAACGAAATAAATGGCTTGGAGTCTGACAGTGGCCAAACCTCAAACGATTAATAATGGTTATAAATTTACGTTCATTGGCTCCTTTGTATTTATCATACCAAGGTTTACATGGGAGTTCCTTTTGGATCTCTGCATACCAACTACCTTTATGCTGTGAGGATAATTTCCAATAGCTTTCCCATAACTTGCGACTTCTTTGTTTTAAGTCGAAAAGAAAATCCGTAAAAGGAACTCTGCATGTAATACTATGATCCTCATCATAATTAGAATTGACGATACCATCTACAATATCATTTCCCTTGATACCCCTATGAGAGGGCACCCATTTAAATGTTACTGGAGTATCCAAAGATATCAATGCTTCTCTAATTTTATACAATAAATAATTATTTCTATAATGAGTATGACATTTGTCTAAAGCCATTAACACACTTTTTGAATCTGAAATTATTAGGAACTCCATGTAGTTATCATTATTTTGTAAACTGTGTAAGTACAATACAACTTGATAGATAGCATAAGCTTCAGCTGTAAATATGCTGCAAGTATTACTTAACATAAAACATTTTGAGGTTTTAGCCTGAGGATCATAGTAACCCGATTTCACTGCAGATGAAGATTTAGAGCCATCAGTGTAGACTTTGTAACTGTTAGGCTTGGTACAGCAATAATCCAGAAAGTCTATATTATCTACTACACTGGACATATCTATATTTAATTTACACATAAGAGCTTTATATTTACAGAGATATACAGGCCATAGTTCAGATTTGTACATATTATCAGATAAATCAGTCATAAAGCTCATAATTCCCAATAATTCAGGGATCTGGTTATTGAGAACATTAGTCGCTGTTATACTTGAAGGCAAATCTGGTGTATTAGTGATAGTTATAGAATAAGAAAGTTTTGGAAGAAGAACATCATTCTGAGAAGTTATTACTTTCAGGCAAAATTTTTCAGCAATTAATACTCGCCGAATACATAGTGGTTCTACACATGACTCAACCTCCATAGAATTGATAGGAGTGGTACGCATTGCACCAGTAACAATTGAAGACGTGAGTGGATGAAGGTGATAAGGGCCAATTATTAGGTTTTTGAAAAAAATTTCTAAAATTTCCCCCCCAATTCCCTCTTCTCCAACCCCCCAAAAATTTTCCCGAAGCCCTGAAAACAAAAAGGAGGGAGAAGGCCCCCACCCAAAAAGGGGGGAAAAAAAAAAAAAAAAAACCCCCCCCCAATCCTCCCCACCCAAAAAAAAAAAAAACACCCCCCCCCCCCCCCCCCCCCCCCCCCACCCGCCCCCCCCCCCCCCCCAAAAAAAAAGGGGGGAAAGACGAACGAAAAAAAAAAAACCCACTTAACCCCCCCCCCCCCCCCCCCCCCCCCCCCCCACCCCCCCCAACCCACCACACCCCCCCCCCCCCCCCCCCAACAAACCCACCCCCCCCCCCGCCCCAAAACCACAACAAAAAAACGCCCCACCGGGGGCCCGCGCCCCGCGGGGGGGGGGGGGGTGGGGGCCCCCCCCCCCCACCCCCCCCCCCCCCCCCCCCCCCCCCCCCAGACCCCCCAAACCCCCCGCCCCCCCCCCCCCCCCCCCAAAACCCCCCCCCCCCAAACGGGGGCCCTCCCCCCCACGGCCCCCCCTTTAAAAAAAACCCCCCCCCCCCCCCCCCAACCAAACCTAAACCCCCCCCAAAAAAAATTTTTCCCCCTCCCTCCCCCTTTCCCTTTTTTTTAAATTTCCCCTCCCCCCCCCCACCCCCCCCCCCTTTTTTTCCCCCCCCCCCACCCCCCAAAAAAACCGGGGGACAAAACAAAAAAAACACCCGGGGGGGGGGGGAAAGAAAAAAAAACGCGGCCCGCGGGGGCCCCCCCCCCCCCCCCCCCCCCCCCCCACCCCACCCACCAAACAAACCCAAAAAAAAGGGCCCCCCGGGGGAAAAAGGAGAACCCCCTTGGGAAAAAAAACCTTTAAAGGGAAAAAGGTGAAAAAAGGTTTTTTGGGGGGGGCCGCCCTTGGGGCCCCCCCAAAAAAACAACCAATTTTTGGGGGGGGGGGCGGTTCCCCCCCCCCCCCCCCAAACCCCCCCCCCCCCCCCCCGGCCCCCCCCCCCCCCCCCCCCCCCCCCCCCCCCACAAAACCCCCCCCCCCCCCCCCCCCCCCCCAACAAAACCCCCCCCCCCCCCCCCAAAAAGCGGGGGGGGCGCGAAAAAAAAAAAAAAAAACCCAAAAACCAAAAAAAACCCCCCCCCCCCCCGGGGGGGGGGGCCCCCCCCCCCCCCCCCCCGGCGGGGGGGGGGGGGGGGCCCCCCCCTTTTCCCGTTTTTTTTTTTCCCCCCCCCCTTCCCCCCCCCCTATAAAAAAACCCCCCCACCCCCACCCCCCCCCCCCTTTTGGCAATTCCCCCCCCCTTTTCCCTTCCTTTTCCGCCCCCCCCCTTTTTCCCCCCCCCCCCCCCCCTGGCCCCCCCCCCCCCCCCCCCCCCCCCCCCGCGCCCCCCGCCAAACAACACCCGGGGGCCCGGGGGGGTAGACGCGTTTAAAAAAAGGACAAAAAACAAACCCCCAAAAAAAAAAACCAAAAAACCCCCCCGCCCCCCCCCCCCCCCCCCCCCCCCCCCCCCCCCCCCCCCCCCCCCCCCCCCCCCCCCCCCCCCCTTTTTTCCCCCCCCCCCCCCCCCCCCCCCCCCCCCCCCTTTTTTTTTTTTTTTTTTTTTTTTTTTCCCCCTTCTTTTTTTTTTTTTTTTTTTTTTTTTTTTTTTTTTTTTTGGGTTTTTTTTTTTTTTTTTTTTCCTTTTTTTTTCCCCTCCCTTTTTTGTGGGGGGTTTTTTAAAGGGGGGGGGTGGCCCCCCCCCCCCCCCCCCCCCCCCCCCCCCCCCCCCCCCCCCCCCCCCCCCCCCCCCGCCCGGGGGGGGGGGGGGGGTTTTTTTTTTTATAAAAAACCCAAAAAAAAAAAAACCCCCCCCCCCCCCCCCCCCCCCCCCCCCCCCCCCCCCCCCCCCCCTTTCGTTTTCCAAAAAAAAAAAAAAAAAAAAACCCCCCCCCCCCCCCCCCCCCCCCCCCCCCCCCCCCCCCCCCCCCCCCCCCCCCCCCCCCGCCCCCCCCCCCCCCCCCCCCCCCCCCCCCCCGGGCGGGGGGGGGGGGGGGCCCCCCGCCCCCCCCCCCCCCCCCCCCCCCCCCCCCCCCCCCCCCCCCCCCCAACCCCAACCCCCCAACCAAAAAAAAAAAAAAAAAAAAAAAAAAAAAAAAAAAAAAAAACCCCCCCCCCCCCCCCCCCCCCCCCCCCCCCCCCCCCCCCCCCCCCCCCCCCCCCCCCCCCCCCCCCCCCCCCCCCCCCCCCCCCCCCCCCCCTTTTCCCCCCCCCCCCCCCCCCCCCCCCCCCCCCCCCCCCCCCCCCCCCCCCCCCCCCCCCCCCCTTTTTTCCAAAAAAAAAAAAAAAAAAAAAAAAAAAAAAAACCCCCCCCCCCCCCCCCCCCCCCCCCCCCCCCCCCCCCCCCCTTTTTTTTTTTAAAAAAATTTGGGCCCCCCAAAATTTCCCCCCCCCCCCCCCCCCCCCCCCCCCCGTGTTTCTGTGGTGGTTTTTTTTTTTCCAAAAAAAAAAAAAAAAAAAAAAAACCCCCCCCCCCCCCCCCCCCCCTTTTTTTTTTTTTTTTTTTTTTTTTTTTTCCCCCCCCCCCCCCCCCCCCCCCCCCCCCTCTCCTTTTTTTTTTTTTTTTTTTTTTTTTTTTTTTTTTTTTTTTTCCCCCCCCCCCCCCCCCCCTTCCCCCCCCCCCCCCGCCCGCCCCCGCCCCCCCCCCGCCCCCCCCCCCCCCCCCCCCCCGGCCCGGGGGGGGGGTGGGGGGGGGGTTTTCTTCCCCCCCCCCCCCCTTTTTTTTTTTGGGTTGTGTGTGTTTTTTTTTTGTTTGGGGGGGGTTTTTTTTTTTTCCCCCCCCCCCCCCCCCCTTTTTTTTTTTTTTTTTTTTTTTTTTTTTTTTTTTTTTTTTTTTTTTTTTTTTTTTTTTTTTTTTTTTTTTTTTTTTTTTTTTTTTTTTTTTTTTTTTTTTTTTTTTTTTTTTTTTTTTTTTTT